CCAAATTATCCCAAATAATAAGGCATAAAAATTTGTGTGCTTTACATATTAACCTATTTGCAGAAGATGTTACAATTTCCTTTGAACCCCAATTTCAGAAATGCAAACGTTTACCAAGGAGCCAACCAATGAACAAGTATCCAACTCAAGAAGTAATAGTACAAAATAGAAATTTGTAGTAACCTATCTAGTAGCAGACTGTGTCCAGTCTCTCTTAAATCTAAATTTTAAAGGGTGATAAAAAAAAAAAAAAAACCTTAGCCACACCTGGCAATAAGTATGTTTTCTTTCATCTGCAGTATAGACACAGAGCATTACAGAAGCTTATTTTCTAAAATTTCCAGATCTTTGCCAAACATATAGACACTAAAACCGCAGTGGACCAGTCAGTATCTCAAAATGGGGATGAGGAGAGCAACTGGATACATGAAACAATATGAAAGATATTTCTGAAACAGATTTTTGGTCTTACTTCTAGGAATTTATCCTGCAGATAGACAAGCTCTGCATATGTAATGTGTGAACAAAATATTCTGTGTTGATTGCCCTGGTGCCCCAGGAGAGTTAGCGGGGGATGAAGCTCTTTCTGCACCCCTGGAGTCATGCTCCAGCCATTGTGCCCCGGTGCTCCCCCCACCCTAAATCTGCAAGGTGGCTTGGACTGCAGGTCTGTTTTGCTACGATCTGTTTGAAAATACATTAGAAGTTTAATTATAGTAGTTGCAGAAGTATAGCATAAGAAATTAAATTCAAGTCTCAGAGGGCCTCCTGAAAGCAAAAGGAAGAAACCAGGGAAAGGATGAGACCCAACTACAGAGCTGGAAGTGTTTTTCAGAGTGAGTCAGAGTCATCAGGCAAGAGACCCAATTTCTTGCCCTCTTCTTTTACAACTCCCAGCAGCACCCAGCACTGGGGGGAGGGGCCGGAGAAAGGGGGATGCTGAAGAGTATGAGTTTACCTTTCATTAACTTCATGGTAAATCCACTGCTGTTTATAACAGAAAAACATTGAAAACAGCCCAAATAACTATCAGAACGAGAATGAATGAATTGTGATATATTCATTTAATAGAATATTATAAAGAATGAGCTGCAGCTACATGTATATTTGTGAAAAACTAAATTTGAGTTGGAGAATAATTTATAAAGTAAGATACCATTAACTTAAATTTTAAAAATATGCAAAACAATATGAGACTATAGATATGTGCATATTATATATACATATTTGAATATGTACACAATGTATATTTTATATATATATATAATCTTGTATGTATAAGCTGTAAAAACATGGAAGGAAATGATAAACACTGAATTCTGAATACTAGTTACCTCTAACCAGGAGGAAAGGAGGGAAATGGGATTGCAGACAAGTACGAAGGAGGTCCATTTCCTGGAAAGAGAAAGATCTCAAGGACACAGGACAAAATAAATATTCAAACCTAGGTGTTAGCTATGAGGTTTTGTTGCATTATTTCCTGAACTCTTCTATATGCAGGAAAATGGTCCATAAGTTCTATTAAAAAAAAAAAATCTCTTGCACTGACCAGAGAAAGAAGATACTCTAATTCTAGCATCAGACTTGATTCCTCTGTTTTTGATATTTAATTTATATTTTTGTTGAGGTGTATGTAAGTAAAATGCATAAATCTTAAGTTTACATATCTGACATGGGTAAGTTCACCAGGATCACGATATGAAAGGTTGCCAACTCTCTTCGGCACGTATAATTCCTCTTATCCTGGCTGGTTTTCATCCTCTGGCTTTAGTTTAGATGTCATTTCCTCTAGGAAAATTGCCTTATTCCCCGAGCACTTGGTTACTACTGCTCTTCTGTGCTTTTTCCTTTAATTGATCATTTACTTCTCAGCTTTTCTTTCTAGATTATGAGCTACTTTCCTGAAGGTTCCATACTACACATGTGACTTGTGTTCTGTTTTGTGCCTGCGCCTTTCCATTTTTCAAGTTAAATTGTACTGACCAACTTCAGCCTCTTCAGAGAAACCCAGGATCCTTTGTGATATTCATCCATTCCTTGTCTACACCTAATCTCCATAATTTCTGCATCAGGTACCATGTTCCTCTGTGTTTTGAGGTCATGACCTTGATATCAAGTTTTGGGTGTTGAGAGTTTCACAAATGCATTCAAGCATAATGAAAACCCTGAACACAGAGTTGTATTTTATGACCAACGGAGTATCAGAGTAATGCCTGCCTTTTAGAAGCGCTGAAGCTTTGCAAGTGAAGCTGAAACCTGTCATGCTGAGCCTGATTAAAACCTCCTCTAAAGCTGACAACTAATGCTGATGGTGTTCATTGCCCAGACTTGGATTATAAAAGGTAACAATGAGGACGTTTCACTTCTGTTCCTCACTCCAGGGAACCTCAGGGAACTCCCTGAATCTTAGAGAGACTGGTAGGCATGCTGAAGAAGGCAAGTTCTCTTTGTGTTGTAGGGGGAGCAACTGAAGAGTAGTTTAATCACTGGAGTAACAAGTGGGGAAGAGAACGGATTCTGGTGCCAGACTGCCAGTGTAACTTTGTACAAGCTGGAAACCTCGCCAAGCTTCAGTTTCTCCTTTGGAAATTGGGGATGATGACGCTAACCCTACTTCAAAGGGTTATTGTGAGGATTAAGTGAGTTAATATGTGAAAAATTCTTCGCACGGAGTATTTTACAGCACTAGAAATCATTATTATCAACATAGTAATATATTAGTTGTGGTAAGATTACTCTGGTTACTGTCTGGAAGGTGATGAATCTAAAAAAGGCAGTGTCATTCCAACATGAAAATAAAAATAAGAAAACATGACTTGATCTAGCAGAAGATACATGGAGGGGTTTGAACTTAGTTCCAGAGACACAGATGCTCTAATCAACCTACAATTATATACACCTTTGATTAACTACTGCTAATTTTCAGTTTCACCCACTGGTTTCCCTTGTCTTCATCATACTAATAGGCACTGGTCCCCTGCTTAGAAATGAATTCACCCTTTGGCTTAGACAAGCAGTAGGTGAGAGAGTAAAGGAAGTTAGGATCACTGTGGTAAGGACCACAGTTCTTAAAATACACATTGAGGGGAAAAGAGTGGAGAAAGAAGGCAAGACAGAAAAACAGCCTGGGAAGGAAATGAGCCAATTGGTCACTACTTTTCATCCCTTGGACAAGGTAGGCATAGTCAAACGGGAGATACGAATTGAAAAACACATTAATGCTGTGATCGTATTCTTCCCAGATTTTGTAGCCAATACACCAAAGCCATACTTATTTTTTTGTTGTTGTTTAAGTCCCACAGCTACATAATTCTGAAGGTATTTGGACATTTCCATATTTTTGAATTTTTCGCTTAAGTAATCTCTCTACCCAATGTGGAACTCGAGCTCATGACCCCAAGATCAAGAGTCGCATGATCCTACTGAGCCAGCCAGGTACCCCTCCATACATCTTTTCAAAAAGTTCAAGAAGTGGCTAAGAGCTCTAGTGTTTTTGTGGCAGGTATTTTTTAGTATGTCTTGAGAACAATTGTACAATTCCTCCAGGCTATTTGCCCTCCTAGCAACCTTTCCTGTTCACCTTGCAGGAAATACTCTTTCTTATATCCCAGTATTGCAAATTTCTTTTTTTTTTTAAGATTTTATTTATTCATTTGACAGACAAAGATCACAAGTAGGCAGAGAGGCAGGCAGAGAGAGGAGGAAGTAGGCTCCCGGTGGAGCAGAGAGCCCGATGTGGGGCTAGATCCCAGGACCCCGGGACCACGACCCGAGCTGAAGGCAGAGGCTTTAACCCAGTGAGCCACCCAGGCGCCCCCAGTATTGCAAATTTCTGATACTCCTCAAAAATTCAGTTTATTTCCTTTTCTAGACTACCACTCCACTTGGCTTACATATTTATATGTACTTATAATTTTATATTGCAATAATCTCTTTTGTTGTCATTCCCCATGTCTAGACCATGAGCTTCTTGGTGGAAGGGACAGTGATTTTACTTCCTATCCTGAGACACTCTATAGCATAATAGTTTAGTGCATGGAGCTGGAATTTCTAAGTTTAAATCTCACATTTATAGGATGTATTGTATATCCTTGAGCAAGTCATTTCCCTTTTCTGTGCCCACGTTCCTGTATCTGTAAAATGAATAATAGCAACAACTTTAAGTTGCTATCCCTTACTTCTATCTTTTAATTGGATGGAAACCTTTTCATGATTTTCAGTGAACTATAGAATTTTTTTTTTTTTTAATTTAGGAGGGGGTGGTGGATAAATTTGAAAGGGTTATTGTTTCCAGTTCAAACAAATACAGATAATTGTGTTGGAAAAAAGAGAGACTTGGAGAATCCAGCAGGCAATGGCCGACATTCCCTCCAGTCTCCCAACATCTTCACATTGTTTGTCTGCCTTCTCTGATTTGCATATACAAGGTCTCTTCAGTTACTCTTTAGTAGTTAGAGGGCTACCTTCTCCAGCAATCTATCTCTGGCATCCTACAGTTGGCCTCCGCCAGGGAACTGATCACCCTTTTATGCAGTTGTCTGTTTGGAAGTGTGATACCACACAACTGTGATGTAAGCAAGGATCTATGACTTAAGAACGACTGATATTTTCAGGCTAATCCTCTCAACACCTAAGTCTCCTGGAGGCTTTCCTTTTGCCTCAGTCACTCCTTGCCTCTCAGTGTTCCTCTGTATCAGCTGGAAGCTTTAGAAATGAAGACCTCTGAGGCAGGCACTGTCCCAGGCGTGCTCCCCATATGCCCCAGCAAGGACACCTACAGCTGAAATGCCTTAGCTCCGCCCCTTTTGAGCTTCTGGCCCGCTCCCTCCCCACTTCGCCTGCACCTGCCTTTGGCCCGCCTTCTCCGTAAACTGGGGTCAGAACTGCGCACGCTCCTTCTCAACCTCCTTGTAGCGTGATGACGTTGACGTTGGCGTATAACGTAGTGGCGGCTGTCGCGCTTGCTTCAGCTCTGAGAGGCGGTCTGGGCTGTGGGTTTGGAAACTACGCGGGTTGGAGAGGTGTCTCGCTCGGCCACAGCGCGTGGTTTTTTGGGGGCTTACGCCGCTGACTCTATTGTCTCCGCTCCGCCCAGTCCCGGGAGAGGGAAGCGCAGTGGAGGTTCTGTGGAGACAAACCTGGAGCCCCTGAAGGGATAGGGAGCAGCCGAGGTTGGGGGGCGTGGAACGCCTGAGTGCAGGGCTGCAGCCCATAATTGGGGAGCAGTCGAGAGGGGGAGGTTCACCATAGGCAAGGTCCGCACCCGCCGGGATCGGGGCTGGTCCCGAGGAGGGCTTGGGGCGGCGGTGCGATGTTCGGGGCCCGGTGCCTGGTCCGAGCCCTGCGCTCCTGTTCCTCCACTCCCTGCCCGAGACACAAACCTTCATCCAGACTGAGCGTGCGGGATGCCCTTGGGGCCCAGAACACGATTGGGGAGCGCGTTAAGGTTCAGGTTGGTGTATGGGAAGGGGGTGGGCTTTTCTTTTTAATGACTTAAGTGGCACCTCCACGACTAGGCTTGCCTTGTCAGGAGGAATGACAGGCAGGGAAAGGAGAAGATGTGGTCAACTGCGTGCGTTCACACTTTACTCCTTTCTTTGCCTACCATTGCTCTTTGCAAAACTGTTGGGATGCCTGTGAAGTCTGGAACTTTGCTTTCCCGGTGGGACATTATCTGTAAACTTGTTAGTCATACAGCAGAATAAACGTACGAGCCTCTTTTCCTTTATCCTTCATAATGAACATCCATAGTTAATAGTGCCTGCCTCGAGCTAGCTCCTTGAGAAATGACACCGTGTCTTAAACGGTCTTGGTGTTCACACATGTGTGACAGTAAATACTCGTTCGACTAAACAATGGCTTTTTTTTTCAACTTTTAACAACCCCAAGGCCTAAAAATGGGGGGTTGTGTATGATATATTTAATACGTTAGGAGAAAGAGTAGAGTGTAGCAGTTTGAAACTCTGGAGTTAGGCTGCCTAGGTTCAAATCTGCCACTAAGTGGCTCATGAATTATGGGCATGTTTCATATGTGTTTTATACCTGTTTCCTTCTTAATGGCAATGAATCTAATAGCCTTAACCTCATAGAGTCCTGAAGATTAAGTGAGGTGATAGGTATTAAGACATTTAGAACAATAGCTCACGTCAAATGTTGGCTGCTTTTATTTCTCTTGTTAATATCAGTTGCAACAGCTCCACATAGAAGATTTTCCCTTAAGGGAGTAGACCAAACAAGGTGGTTTGACCATTTTTTATAGGTCGCTGAAACACTGATGAAGTTATTTTTGTTGTCCTCGAATATCCTTGATTTTTAGCAGTGTGACCTCTCTGCATTTCTTTGGGTTTCATATTTTTTCCATGATACAAACCAAAACCTTCTCCATTCATCTATTTATTTGGCATACATACCTTAATGATCCCTTGGGAGTGGTAATCTAGAAAGGATTCAAAGGTAAAAGCTACTGCTTCCGTTAAAGGCTTTCATTTTAATGCTGCGCGGTCTAAGCTAGTAACTGCCTGCCGTTTGTGGCATTGAGCTCTTGAAATGCAGCTAGTCTAAATTGAAGGATAACTGTAAATGTAAAATACACACCAATTTTGGAGAACAAAATATAAAATATCTCAATATATATATATATTGATTACACATTGATATTTGGGGCATAACTGGGTTAAATACAGTATTAAAATTAATTTTACCTGTTTGCTTTAGCGTGACCACTAAAACATGCAGAATTACATAATGTGGCTCACATTATGTTTTTGTGGGTCAGCCCTGGTCTAATGGTTAAGACTGGTAATTGGGGCAATGTGATTAGTATTGGTGGTATAAAAATTTTGAGAAAATATAGAGGGACGTCCTTAACTATGTGAGGTCAAGGAAGACTTCTTGTATTAAGTGACATTTCACTTGAATCCTGAAGGATAGGAGTTCCTCAAGCAGAGGAACTAGGGGTGGGGGGGAAGATAGCATTCTAGAGAAGTTTGGTAATAACTTGAACTTTGAACTAAGAACTGTATTTGAATTCTAGCTCTATTACTTGGGAACTGTGATGTTAATTATTTAGAGAGATTATCCTAACTTCTCTAAATATGTTCTTCATCTCTAATACTCACTTTATTAAGTTCTTGTAAGGACTAATTAGTAAAATATTTATAAAGAGCTTAGAACAGAAGCACATTTTTAAATGGTGCTTCACAAATGTTAGCTTTTACTAACAAGTGAAAAGCAAGACAGTGGTGCTTTAGGAATTACTATTGATTGAACCTGACCAGAGAGCAGCTTCCTTTCAGGGAAGCCTGGGCAGGTGAAACCAGAAAGATGGGCACACTCAATTGTGAAAGGCCTTGTATAGGAGACTAAGGCAATGTATACTTTATTCAGTGTAGCCGTAAAAAAAAGTTCAAATTCAGGCTTTATGTTAACAAGCAGTGTGATCTTCAGCAAGTTATTTAACTTCTTTGAGCCCAGGTTCTTCACTTGTAGGAAAGGTTCACACCACAGAGTTGTTGTGAAGAAGTGATGAGATAGTACATGAAGGTAAAACACTTCTCACAGTAGATTTTTAGTGCATGGTAGATATTTTTTCACTAAAAAACATTAATGGACTATCTACTCTGTGCTTGACAATTGCCTTCAAAGCAACTAAAGCATGGTTCCTAAACTTTGAAAGTATTGTGGACATGCAAATAAGTAAGAGAAGAGCTTTAATAGCATTGTCTGTAGGTTATGGTGGGAACACAGCTAAGGGTCAATACCATTTTGTTTTGTTTTAATTTTATTTGTTTGCCAGCAAGAGCACAAGCAGGGGGAGCAGCAGAGGGGGAGGGAGAAAGAGACTCCTGGCTGAGCAGGGAGCCCGATGCGGGGTTCATCCCAGGACCCTGATGTCACCACCTGAGCCACCCAGGTGCCCCCAATACAGTTTTGTAAGTAGAATCATCTCCCTTTTCCCAAGCGTGGCTGATAGTTAATCAAACACCGTCAGTTTCACAGTTGTTCAGTGTCTGATAGAGTATTCCCGTTTCTTTGCTAGTTAAATTTAAGTTGGATGTTATCTTTGAGACCTGTTTTTAGTTGTACTGGTCTACTGGAATACCTCTCATTTGTATTCACACGTACCTGTCATGTGAATTCAGAGTGTCTTTGAAAGCTTATGTACTACTTAATATATGTTCACAATGAAAAGCTGTTTGAGAACTTTGTGTGATACATTCTAAAAGGGAAACAAAAATCCAATGGAGATGTTTCTAGTGTATACATAATCTCCCTTCTAGGAATTTTATATAAAAGGAGACAAGGGCGAAAGTATGTGTCCTGTTGTTTGTTGTGGTGGCAAAAAGGAGCAAGGGGCAGGAAGAAATATGTGAAATAGCCAATATTGGGGAAATCGATGATGTGAATTAGGCTCTTCACCTACTGGAATGTTAGTATTCAGAATGGTGAGTTTTATTAACAAAACAAAAAGGTGTAATGCCAAAGCTGTATCTCACTGCGATAAGAATTGTATTGAATTATATATGCTTAGCGGTGAGCTAAAAGCGATTGATTTGTTACGACAGGATTCAGGATATTGGTTTTTTCCATTTAGTCTTACATGTGCATGTGTAATGAAAATGTAAAATGTTTGTGTTTTAAACTCACATTTAGAAATTACTCTTTATTAGGGATGGATTCGTTCAGTCCGATCCCAGAAGGAAGTATTGTTCCTGCATATAAATGATGGATCATCTTTGGAAAGCCTTCAGGTTGTAGCAGATTCAAGCTTTGATAGTAGGTGAGGTTTTTGTTTTTTGTTTTTTGTTTTTAAATAACAAAAGAACCTTTTTTTTTCCTTTTCATCTCTGTTCCCCATTTCTCTAATCCAGTGTTCATATTGCCCCCTGAGTGATCTTTCTCAACAAATCTACTTTTCAGAGCTTTGAGGCTTAAGTCCAAATATCTGGAATCAAGATCTTTCAAGCTCAGGCCTTTCTTTTTCTTTTTCTTTTTTTTCTCTTTAAATTCAGTTAATTAACGTAATATTAGTTTCAGATTTAAGGGTCAGTGATTCATCGATCTTAAATAATATACAGTACTTATTACATCACCCAGTTACCCCGTGCGCTCACCCCCATCCCCTTAAACAATCCTTAGTTTGTTACTTATGATTAAGAGTCTCTTAGGGTTTGTCTCCCTCTCTGATTTTGTTTTGTTTTATTTTTCCCTCCGCTCCCCTATGCTCCCCTGATTTGTTTCTTAAATTCCACGCATGAGTGAAATCATATAATTGTCTTCTCTGATTGACTTATTTCACTTAGCATAATAGCCTTTAGTTCCATCCATGTCATTGCAAATGGCAAGATTTAATTTTTTTTTTTTTGATGGAGGCCTTTCTTTTTCTAACATCTTCACATAATAATATCCCGTATCTATTCTTTGCTTCAGCCTCTCGCAATTATTTGCTGCCCAAAGAAGGGTAAAACCTCTGTCATTAAATATTGGAATGTTCTGATAGCAAGTTTTGTATTAAAATGAGGGTTCCAGGTAATGATACCTTGTCTATGCTGGTTTTTGGTTACTGTAGAGAACTGGCTTTTGGGAGTTCTGTGGAAGTTCAAGGGCAGCTGGTAAAAAGTCCATCCAAAAAGCAAAATGTGGAACTGAAGGCAGAAAAAATTGAAGTTGTTGGAAATTGCGATGCCAAGGTATGCTTTCTAATACTTTAATGGGGACTATTTAGTCTTAATGTAAAACATTAGCTGTCTGATTTAAGTGTGATTATTGGGAAGATGGCACTTAGAGCATGTTTCAGTTGGACTTCGCAGATAATCGAAACGGGCTATAGAGCTGAGGAATGTAGAGAGTGTAGCAAAAAGTACGTAGACGGCTGAGTTTTATGAGTGAAGGTGAAGTATTAATCTCTGCATCTCTTTGGATGCCTGTCACAGTTGAAACTTGCCACTTCTACGAGGATGCCCAGTTAGTTGTAGTGACAGAGACATCGAGCAGACCATGTTCTTAGGAAAGCCCTGCCTAGAAATGACTTTTACAGGATCTAGAACTGTGTTGGACCAGTACCTTAGCCACTAGCCACCTGTGGCTATTTAATGTTAACTAATTTAATATTAAATCAATCAAAATTAAAAAAAAATCAGTTCTATAGTGGCATTAGCCACATTTCAAGTGTTTGGTTGTCACAGGCAGCTGCTGGCTACCATACTGGATAGCATGGATACAGAACATTTCCATTTATCACAGAAAATTCTGTGGGACACTGCTAGAGTGCCATAATGCTCGGGCTGAGCAAAGATAAGAAATCCTACATTAAGATATGTATGGGGCGCCTGGGTGGCACAGTTGTTTAAGATTCCGACTCTTGGTTCCAATTCATGTCGTGATCTCAGGGTCTTGAGATCAAGAACCCCATCAGGTCCGTAATCAGCTGGGAGTCTGCTTGGTTTTCTCTCTCCTTCTGCCTCTGCTTCTCCTGTTCTTGTGCACTCTCACTCTCGCGTGCGCTCTTTCAAAAAAAAAAAAAAAAGATATGTTTATGCCTATTTTTGCAAGAGTCTTTGTTACTACCTTTTATTTATCACCTGATAAAGAGGTTAGAGGGTATAAAATCATAGGTTATCAATCCAGTTTCTGAATTGGAGAAAATGAGGCCCAGTCAGGTGATCTGACTTGCCCAAGGTGATATTGCTGGCTAGTGCCACAGCTAAAATTGATGTACTAGCCATTTGACTCTCATGTAGTTGTGCTATACTTATCTTCAAGTATTTAATGAACAAAAAATGAGGAAGTATAGGGAAATTGCATCATTTTAATTCATTTTTATTTCTTTTGGATAATTGGAGGAAAACATATACAAGGAAATAAGAGAAAAATGGTCAACTTTTTAAAAAAATGTCATTCTGAATAATTTTTCAATAAATACTAATTGAAATACTAATACATGCTAATTGACATGTAAAATCTGGAATTGGGTCCTAAGATTTCTGAATAGTGGACTGTGAAAATATTTTGGAACTCAGGAATTGGAGATGGTAACCATTTTTGGGTTTGCTTTTTTAGAGGGATATAATGATTATTAAAATTTGCCATGTATTTAACGCTTCTTAAATTTTTCTCTCTTGGCTTCTCTGTCATTCACCTTCTCTTCCCCTTGATTTCAACTTCATTTTTAAGTATTTAGATATTAGGGAATTCTGATCCCCAGGCAGTCCCCAGACTCCTGTTAATGTGGTCCTTTTTTGACTTAAGTAGATGTGGTACTTATTTCTCTTATGAAATAAATTAGCATGTGCACTAAAAGAAATAGATAAGACTATATGGAATAAGCTACCATTTGGCTTTTTTACTTAGCTTTTCTGTTACCTTTTTTCTGGAACTTTGGTTTTGGTCTGAAGATTTGTTTTTGTCTTAAGCTTGAAACATGAAGGTGGGCAGGGTATAATATTTCTACATAGAGTCATAATTTGAAATTTTTGTAAGTATACATTTCTCTGCCAGATGACAGAAAGCTGTTGACCCTCCTTCATGTTCTTAGACATGTTGATAAACAGTGAAAACAGTGCCAATTGATTATAAGTGATTATGGGCTTTCAAGACCTTTGGGTGATTTTTAAAATTGAACACCAGCTGTGTGTACACAGCTGTAGAAAACATAATCTTTAATATCTACAATATTCTGAACTCTTATGTGCCAAACAGTGGGCTGTTTTGCATAATTATATTCTAATCTTCTGTTTGTAAGTAGTGACTGATATAAGCTAATGGATGAAAATTTGATAAATAACAGATTAGCCTCAGTAATATTAACTTTGCCCAAGGTTCCACACCTAGTAAGTGGTAAAGCTAGAGTCACACCCACATTTCTGATTCTACCTACCAATCTACTAATTTGGAATTAATGTTGACTATATTCACTTATCTTAAGAAACAGAGAAGGAAGATTTTTTATTTTTGTTCTGAAGCATTAGTGTTTAACCAGTGTCCTGGAAACTGTTATTATAGAACATTATCTTTTTTTAACTTTTCATTTGTTTTTTTTCCAATTTTTGGCAGGCTTTCCCTTTGAAATATAAAGAGAGGCATCCTCTGGAGTATCTGAGACAATACCCTCACCTTAGATGTAGAACTAATGCTCTGGCTTCTATACTGAGGGTTCGCAGTGAAGCCACGGCTGCTATTCATTCTTTCTTTAAGGTAAGGTGCTTTGTGTGTGATTAGCTGCCCCCCCCCCCCGCCCAGCTGTTATTTCTTGTGTAAAAGTTGAATTATTGTAACCTTGGAGTATTATCCTGAAAGTTCTGTTAGTTACAATTATTTATTCCAAGCACCCTTTACTTGCATGGTACTTTTCTCTTTGGCTAATTTAAGCTTATCCCTTTATCGCTGGTTTTGAGCAATTAGATTATGAGGTACCTTGGCACAGTTTTCTTTGTTCCTTGCATTTAGACCTTGTAGAGTTTCTTGGATCTATGTGTTTTAGTTTTCTTCAGGTTTTTCAGCCATTGCATCTTCAAAATTTATGTTACCTCCCCCCTTTGGAGACCTCAGTTGCCCATATATTAGGCCACTTAATGATACCTCCATAGCTCACTGATGTTCTCTTTTTTTTTTTTTTTTTTTAAGATTTTATTTTATTATTTATTTGACAGACAGAGATCACAAGTAGGCAGAGAGGCAGGCAGAGAGAGAGGAGGAAGCAGGCTTCTGCTGAGCAGAGAGCCCGATGTGGGGCTTGATCCCAGGACTCTGGGATCATGACCTGAGCTGAAGGCAGAAGCTCAACCCACTGAGCCACCCAGGTGCCCCGATGTTCTCTTTTTTTAAATTCCCTTTCCCTGTGTGTTTTTTTAGGGGGTAGTTTCTATTGTTAGGTCGTCAAGCTTACTGATGTTTTCTTCTATGATGACTCATTTGTTGTTATTCTTGTCCAGTGTGTTTTTCATCTAACATTGTAGGTTTCATAACTAGATGTTTGATTTGGGCCTTTCTTTCCCCCTTTTGTGTGGAAAAATATGGACTGCTGCATGAATCTGTGTGTCATCCTTGCACAGGGGCCATGCTCATTTCTCTATATTATTCCGGTTTTAGCATATATGCTGCCAAAACAAGCACTATTTGGACCTTTTTAAAAAAATATCTTCCATATCTCTACTTAACTTTTTGAACATACACAATACAGTTTTAATTAAAACTTTTACAGATTTAATAGCTGTTTAATAACTGTTTTATGTCTTTATGTCTAACATGTCTGTTAGTTGTTAAGTCCTTTTTGATCTACTGCTTTTATTTTTATTTTTATTTATTTATTTTTGATTTACTGCTTTTTGTCATCTCATTACAGGTTATGATTTCTTGCTTCTTTGTATATATGCCAGTCTTTGGTTAGATGCCAGACAGAAAATTTTACCATCTTGGATATTATTAAGCTTTGTTTTGGTATACAGTTAAGCTACTTGAAAACTCTGAACCTTTTGGGTCTTATTCTTATGATTTGGTGAATGGGGCTGGTTAACTAGTCTAGGGCTAGTTAACTTCCACTACTCAGGCAAAGCCTTCCTGAGTACTTTACCTAGTGTCTTGTGAATTTTGAGTTTTTCCAGTCTGGCTTGTGGGAACAGGTACTGTTTCCCAGGCATTGTTTCCTCTAATCTTTCTGGCTGGTTCTGTCCTTGGCCTATGATAGTTTTCCCACATGCATGTGCTGGGCTCCACTTTATTTCCCTCCTCTTCCTGCTATGGCCTGGACAATCTCAAAGTACTAAGCAAGGCTATTGATAGGGTTCACTAAGTTTGTTTCCCACCTCAGCGATCGCTGTCTTTTGTTGTCTGATATCCATGGTCTTGAAAACCATCCTTTCGTGTGCTTTTTTTTTGGTGGGGTTTTTAGTTTTATTTTTGTTTGTTTGTTTGTTTGTTTTTAGTTGTTTCAAGGGGGAGGGTAAATCTGGTCCCTGTTTTTCCATCTTGGTCATAGACATATTTTATATGTGGTAAGCACTACTTTTGAAAAGTTATTGGTGTTAATCAAATAGATTGGTAGGCACCTAAAGGCGTTTTTTCTTATTTAGCTTTGCTTGTCAGCCACGTCCCCTTACCTGGGAAGGCCACAGGGGAACATAGTTGTTGTGTTGATGAGGTGAAGGGACCTTCCCCCATGTGGATGGGAGGGCCCCAAAGATCAGGAGTGACCCAGAAGATGAAGTTCAGTGTTATTCCAAGTGGTTCTGGACCCCTTCCTATGCCATTTCTCCAGATCCAGCTGATTGTCTAGCATCATACCCTTCTCTTGGGTGCATCCAAATTCATGCAGGCCCAGCCCTATCGTAGTTTATCAAGAGAGTTCTTGCTCTTTGAAAAGCTCCTTCAGAGTTAGCTTCTGGTGAAACAGCTAAAGAGCATCATGGCTTTGAAGCATACAGTTTTGAATAAAACAAAGAAAAATAATCACATTATACTATGTCATCCTATTATAGTTCGAAAGGGTTCATTTCCATATGCTCTCATAAACTTTCTTATGCAACTTCCATATGGCTTTTCAGTAGTGCTTGAAGCACACAAACAGAAAATTTGTTCAGATCTAAAAATGTTTTTTGCCCCATATGGCTTTAAACAGTGGATAAAGTAGACCTTCTTATATACTGAAAGTTTTATAGATTTCTGGCCACTAGGTGGTGATATTGGCAGTCCATTAACAAGTGAGCTTTACCTACTTTATTCATTTATTACTGGAAGCTTTGACAAATAAGTAAACAATTTAAAAATAACAAACAGAAAATCTGAAATTAAAAAAATAATATTATAAGCAAGCAAAATGATATTTTAAGTGGTTGCAAATAATGAGTTTTAGTACTGTTGGTTATAGGTACAAATGCAGGTAATTTTTGAGTGCTATAAATTCGCTTTTTAATTGTGAAATCCTGGAAAATATAATCCTGATAATTCTATATTGTTACCACTTGTATGTATAACACTTAGGATTGAATTGAAATCACAGAGTACTAAAGGGCATATTAAATAGTTTTATGTTATTTAGTATTTGGTACTATTTTTGTGACTTACTACTTTAGAATCCCTAAAAGATGTTAAGACTTAAAATCTAGAGGCACCTGGGTGGCTCAGAGGGTTAAGCCTCTGCCTTCAGCTCAGGTCATGATCTCAGGGTCCTGGGATCAAGCCCTGCATCAGGCTCTCTGCTCAGCAGGGAGCCTGGTTCCCCCTCTCTCTCTGCCTGCTTCTCTACCTACTTGTGATCTCTCTCTCTGTCAAATAAATAAATAAAATCTAAAAAAAAAAAAAAAGACTTAAAATCTAAGAGTTTCATGCCTTAAAGTATCCTAACTTAAAACTGAGGGTTTTGGAGGGGAGAGGGTGGGGGGTTGGGTGAGCCTGGTGGTGGGTATTAAGGAGGGCACATATTACTTGGAGCACTGGGTGTGGTGCATAAACAATGAATTTTGGAACACTGAAAAAAAAAATAAAATTAAATTTTAAAAAAAGGTACTGTTCTAGGTGCTATTTTTTCCTAATATCTCTAGACTAGAAAGTCATTTTTTTGGTTTGAGTATCAAAAGTATTTTGTGTATAAGTTGGTTTGTTCATAAAATTGACACATTTGCTATGTACTAAAACTTGGATATCTAGAATCCTCAAGAATGAATTATTTAGAAAAGCTAAGTTCCTCCCATAACAGAATAGTTAGGCACAATTTTTTCCCAATTTCCAGTGGAGGTTATCCTAAAATATATTACGTATTTCCCTGGCTTCCTAATTGAGCCAGTAGAAGAGTTTGCCCTTTCTTGATGAGTCCAGATTCTTCATTTGAGTATCATATTTTTCCCTCTTCTGTATGGCAAGGACCTAGAAGTCCATCAGTGTGTATTCTTTTCCTCTCTATTGAATGACCCCAGACTATTGTGTCTTTGAGTTCCTGTGACTGCTTTTTTATGGATTTTTTTTTTTTTTTTTGGTCTTCCTATCACTTTTTTGCCAGTGGCTAGCAATTGTTGTCATGTTTCTTTCTTGTTGATTCTGATTTAATAATGATGCTTACTTTGTGTGAGTGCAAAAGAAAAATACAATCCATGAGGTTTTGAGTGATATGCATGGGCCTTAGTATGTGAGTTTTATAACTTTCAGATACTCAGTGTCTTATAAAATATCTGGTTCTAAACTGTGTATGAAAAACATTTAGATATTTAGAGGTGGTGGGTAGAATCAGAAAAATTGGGTGAGTAGGGGTGCCTGGATGGCTCAGTCGGTTAAGCTTCTGCCTTAGGCTCACAGGGTCCTGGGATTGAGCCCCACTCAGGGTCTGGGGGAGGAGGTGGAGAAGAGGGGTGCTCCTGGCTCAGCAGGGAGTCTGCTTCTCCCTCTGCCCCTCCCTGCCCCGCTCATGCTTTCTCTCTCTCTGTTTCAGATAAATAAATAAATCTTAAGGGAAAAAAAGAAGAAAAGAAAAATTGAATAAGCATGTACTTTTATTTTTGGCTCCTTCTCCGGCCTTCCTGTCTCGAAGCAGGGACCTCTTTGCTGTAGGATGGGATGGATACCTGACACCACTACCCTAGTGGAGGCAGACAGTACTCCCCCACTCCTGGCTTTTTATTTTCCTTTTTATTTTTCTACTTCCCTGTCCACTTGCTCTTTTTGGATTTTGTTCTCTGTGCTTTTTTATTCTACTTTTGGACTCTGTTCTTTATAGCCTTTGGGGGGAATGTTTTAGACTTTGATATAAGCCTTTTAGCAGCATTAAGCCTTAAAAAGCTGATGACACCTTTTGAAAGGTTTAGCATTAATTGAGTATTAAGAATAATTCCTGCTGCTTGAGTGATTTTTTTTTTTAAGCCCATATAGTTATTTTCATAAGATTTGCAGTTTTGTTTCTTGTGGCATTTGACCAGTTCTAACTTTGGCAATTACATTTAGCCGTTAAATTTTCTCCTCCCTCTCCCCCTCCCTCTCACCACCCTCGTTTCCTTTGGATTTTTCACTTCCTTTCTTTGTTTACTGCACTCCTGCTCATAGTTGCCTATATTCATGTGGAATAAATGATTCATGTCCATAATTCTGGCTCCTAGGAGATAAAAATTTTATGCAGTAATGTTATTGATTATTTTTCATTCGTTCTCTGTAATGTGCTTTGTGTGGCACCTCTAGGTTCATAGCTCCCAGGTTAAGTACATATTTGAATATTTTCTGAGACTCCTAATTTATAGTTTGAATATTTAATCAGTCTACATCATAAGACAAGTTGTTAACTGGATACTTTGTATCAGAGCCAGAATACTTGAATTCCACCTTTTTAGGAAGGGAGAGGCCAATTTGGGAGGCGGCTGGTGTAATGCACTGAGACATTTTACATTCCCTCAGTGATGGGCACAATGTGGCAGAGATTAAATGTGCATGTATGAATTCATTGTATTGATTTCAAGACCAAAATTTTTGTGTGAAACACTACTATTCTGGCTCTGCACCATAAGTTCACTTGAGTTCCCTCTGTGCTCACCTGCAACATTTACACCGAATGTAACCTTTTGCCTACATCCATAGTCAAAATGAAAGAAGCATAACCATGAATTTGCTGGGTTATTTCAGTCCTACTAGCAAACAGCTTTTGTGGTTCACTAATGGAAATAGCTCAGACTTTGGAGCGGAAGAATTGCAGTTGGGCGCCTCAGTAATGGATGGATTTGCTGTTCAGAATCTTCCTTGGGGCAAAGGAAGTGCACTGCCTGTGCCATGTGTAGTGTACTGTGCCATCAATTTAATGACAGACTTCCTAAAAATCATTTCTGCCTTTGTTGCTATTTATTTCTTCAGTCCCTGTTTGTCAACTTTCTTCTCCTTTTTGGTGGTTTATGACAATTGGGGGTCTCATTCCAAAATGACAACCCAGCTTCATATTGATCACTTTGTAGTCCCTTAGCAGTGTGGGTGACATCATTGTGCATTAGCCTGGAGAGAGTGTGTGTGTGTGTTGAATCACTACCAGTGTGTTAGAGAGGTGGGAAGAAAAAATATGCCAGAGAGATCCTAAGGGCTTGGGTTCCAGTCCTGGCTCTCTCTGCCATCAACTATTTGTGTGAATTTTTCTTTAAGTCTCTCTGGGCCTCAATTTCCTTATCTTTGAAATCATGTTGGACTAGAGAATGTCTCAGTCAGTTCTTGATTTAAAATTCAATGTGCTTCTCTGCACAGTAAAACACTCAATTTGATATCTTATTAGTTATGCTTGGCGGGCTAGAGAATTGATATGGCATTCTCTCAGTGCTTTTTTAATAGTATAATCAGTTATATGTTCTTAGAATTGTTTTATATACAAATATGCTGAAAAAGTGGTTTTTCTTTTTTTCTAGGACAGTGGCTTTGTGCATATTCATACTCCAGTAATCACATCCAATGACTGTGAGGGGGCTGGAGAACTGTTCCAAGTTGAAGTAAGTTTTGCTTCCCGTCTTGAAGGATAGGTTGCTCTTTGATATTTTTCTTTGGAGGGTTTGCTTTTTTTTTTTTTTTTTTTTTTTTTTGAGTAACAGTTATGTGGATAAACCATAACTAGATCTTGAAGATTTATCAATAGTAATCCTTAAAGAACAGATATAGAAAATTCAGGCTTCTCTGATTTCCTGTCCTACTGGCTATATTACTGACATTGTGACTGAAAGGAATGAATTTTTAAATTAGTGCTCCATTTGCTTTCCTTAGGTAACTGTGAATTGGTGAACTAGAGAAACTTGAAGAGATTAATAAAGCTTTTCAGATCTCTTTCATGCACATTCAACCCACAGTTGATAGTTTTGGATGTAAGTCATACTTTAAAAAATAAAATAAGAAGACATACATGTGCATATTTTCTTTTCCAATGCCTTTAAAGAACACATTTATTTTATAAGAAATTATTTATATTCCATATACCTCATGAGGGCTCTGATTTTAATTCTTTGTACAGCAATAATTTTTTTGAGTTCCTGTTATATGCCAGGCATTTTTAGCTTTCCCTTATTGCACATTACTTAAAAGTTACCAGTTTTTCTTACTTGCAGGCAGTTGAAAGCCTTTCATTTACCAATTTTACAACCTGTTTAACATCATTGGCCAGTAATATAATAATGGGCAGAGAGAAGTGTGTGTTGATAAATGGTGCTTTTTGTATTTCTTTCATTTATTCAGTGATTTCTTTATCTCTGAGAAGTCAAGGTTCTTATTTATACATCTGGGTGATTCCATCAAATGACAAGACCTATGTATAACTGCTCTGTTCTGGTGCAGTACGTTTGGACTCTTGATAATGATGCCTGCTCTTCTTATTATTGAACAAAGTATTCACTGGGAGAAGTTGTCCCAATGCTTGGAAGTCATTATTCAAAATGATAAGCAAATGCTGCCTGTATTCATACATAGTTTGAGGAAATCTTGATAGCCTTCTACACAAAGCAGAATAAAAATGCTTTGTTGAACATTTAAACGGGGAGTGTTAGCATCTGTAAATGTGAGTTCAAAAAAGCCAGCCAATGATAAAATAACAATACATAAATTGTGAAAGACATTCTCTTCTAGGTGTTTATGTTATTTATTTTCTCTTTGCACCTTAATAGTCTCCTGAATGTTGAAGTGAGAAATTACCCACCCTAAATACATTTCATAATCCCTTAATCTAAACCACTGAATATTAAAAAGGAAATGACAGGAAAGGAAGGGTATAATTTAAAGGAGTGTTACAAATAAGAAAATAATTATTAAAGAGACCCAAATTAAGCAAGTAAAAAAAATCTGTAACAGACCAAAATAATGATACATTTGGAGAAAACTACTTTGCTACCAGGGAAATCCCATAAGCAAGTCTGAAAGATTACAGTATGTGTATTTGGCCTTTAAACAACAAAAGGCAAGTTACCAGATAAGTATAAATATAGAGGAAAGGAAAAATACTTATTTCTGAAGCTAAACAAATGAGAAGTGTTCAATGTTTGTACCCTCTCAGGGCCAGGTTGAGGAATTTCATATTGATGGAATTAGACTTGCCTATTCACAGTATCAGAAAGAAATGCTTTTGAATTTGTTGGTCCTAGGCTTCTGCAGTCAGGCTCTAGGTCAGATCTCAGCAATTTGTGGCTTTTTGCTATGACCTGCTTTGTTGTTTTCAGAAGAAGTTTGGTTTAGAAGACTTGTCTTCTGCCCCTGCCAACCCTCTATCCTTTGAAAGCAGGACATTCTTACTCCCACCACACACACTCTGTACAGTACTTCGATTCTTCATTGTGTAAATTTTGTCCTGACTGGATTTAAAGATATTGGGGTTTGAATCTTGGTACCCCGCTGTTAGGAGGAAGTGGAGTTTTATATTTCAATTCTTCCTTCTCTTGGGGGTATGAGTGGCTCAGTTGGGTAAGTGTCTGACTCTTCATTTCTGCTCGGGTCATGATCTCAAGGTTGAGAGATTGAGCCCCCAGTGTGGAGCCTACTTAAAAAGAAAAAATACTAGGATGCCTAGTACACCCAGGTTTGAGGGCAGCAGTCAAAGGCCATCTTGAAATGCACAATAAGAACATAAACTTCTCTAATACACTGTTGAGAAGTGATAGTATGTTCCATCATTTTAGTTTCCCGTTTCTTCATTTCTGTTTCCTGCTTTAAGACTTGGGATATTTGTTAAGGCTTGGGTACTACTGAACACATAGGTATGAAATTGCATTAAGGCATGCCTATGTTATTTAGCAGACATTTATACCATCTGTGTTCAAGATGCTAGCTTGTCTCTGAGAAGATAAAAGAGATTAAAGGCAAGAATTAGAGATTATGGCAAAAATTAGCTGGTGATGGAACATAAGATGAAATTGCTTTATGTATATATTTGAGGTTACAGTATTAACAGTTGCAAGTGGTATGGAATCTAGAGGAAAATTAGGTCAGTGAAGATTGACTTGGGCAGGAAAATCTTCCAAATGAATTTGTGGCTGGGGCGTAACCTAAGGAGGATATTCCCAGTAGGAGAACTACGTGAGCAGAGTCAAGCAATTGAAATGAGTGTGGGGTTTTCAATGGACTCTGGATGGACAAATTAGAAGGTTCATATTGGTGAATGATAAGAAATAAAGTTGGTTGGCTGTAGGAACCAAAAGATGGAGCAGGTTTAAAAAAAAAAACAAAACACAACTTTATTGAGATATATTTACCCACTTAAAATACAGTTCCGTTGTTTTTAGTATATTCACAAGATTCTGCAGCCATCAATCAGTCTAATTTTAGAGCCTTTTCATCTTCCCAAAGTGAAACCTGGTACCCATTAGCAGTCCCTTGCCATTCCCCACCTCTCCCATCCACCTCCCCTCAGTTCTAGATACCACTAAACTACTTTCTATAGATTTGCCTTTTAGGGAGCATTTCATATAAATGGAATCATACAACATATGGTCTTTTGTGTTTGGCTTTTTTTTTTTCTTAGCCCAATATTTTTGAGGTTCATGTTGTAGCATTTATCAGTCCTTTATTCCCTTTTATATTCAGCTGGTATACTTTTGTGTAGATGTACAACATTTTGTTTATCCATTTGGCAGTTGATGGATATTTGGATTGTTTCTACCTTCTGGCTATTATGAATAATGCTACTATGAACATTTGTGAAAACATTTCAATGAGCATATGATTTCATGTCTCTTGGGTGGAATTGCTGAGTCATATGGTAACTCTGTGTTTAATATTTTGAAAAGCTGCCAAACCACTTTCCAAAGTGGCTGCATCATTTTATATTCCCACCAGCAATGCATGAGGGTTCCAGTTTCCCCACATCATTGCCAGCCCTTATTATTGCTCTTCTTTTTTTTTTTTTTAATTATAGCCATGCCTAGAGGGTATGAGATTGTATCTTATTATGAGTTTGCTTTTTGCTTTTGAACATTACAACTTACACATTTGAGCCTTTCAAATTACAGTTCTGTTATGCCAAAGTGTGATAGATAAATGGTCTCACATTATGAATTAAATTAAGCTGAGAAAATCTAACAGTAATACTTCATATAATAGGAACATTATTCAAGCCTTAGAATTTATACATTTAAATTCGTTTTAAAGCTGAGCGTGAACTGAAAGTGTAAGCCTGTTAAATGGAACCCAAGAAGACGTGTAATTTTATTTCTGAATCTCATACTGTGAAGAGTCTCATACTAAGATTCTCATGCTGCATCTCATTCTGTATGTTGAAGTTTGGCATTAGATTGGTTTGTTTGCGTGTGTGTGTGTGGTTATATATGTAACAAAATTTCCCAGTTTAGCCATTTTTAAATGTACAATTCAGTACTATTAATTATATTTACAGTGTTGTACGACCATTACCACTCTCTATTTCTTAAAACTTTTTCATCACTACAACAGAAACTCTATAGCAAAAATTATCCATTCCCATTACTCCTTGCCCCTAGTAACCTCTAATCTACGTTTTGGCTCTATGGATTTCTTGTTCTGGATATTTCATATAAATGGAATCATACATGATATTGGCCTTTTGTGTCTGGCTTCTTTTGTAGCATGTATCAGAATTTCCTTTCTTTTTATTACTAAATAATATTATGTTGTGTGGGTATACCATATTTTGTTGAACCATTCATTGATAAACATTTAGTTGTTTCTACTTTTTGGTATTATGGTAATGCTGCTGTGAACATTTCTGTACAAGCTTTTGTTTGAACACTTGTTTTCAGTTCTTTTGAGTATATACCTAGAAGTGGAATTGCTGGATCATATGGTTATTCTATGTTTAACTTACTGAGAAACTGGCAAATTTTTTCCACAGTGGCTGCACCGTATTATATTCCCACCAGCAATCAATGTATGAGGGTTCCGCCTTTTTTTTTTTTTTTTTTAAGATTTTATTTATTTATTATTTGAGAGAGCGAGCACATGCCCGCAAGCTGGGGGTGTTGGGAGAAGAAGAGAATCTCTGCAGACTCCGCACTGGGCAGAGCCGGATGTGGGGCTCAATGCCACCACCCTGAGATCCTGACCTGAGCCGAAATCAGGAGTCACATCCTTAACTGACAGAGCCACCCAAGGACCCTGAGGGTTCCACTTTGACTGCATCCTTGCCACTGCTACTTATTTTCAGTCTCTGATTATAGCCATTCTAATGGTTACAGTCGGCTTGGTTTGCACTTCCTTAATGACAAAGGATGTTGAGCACCTTTTTGTGTGCCTGTTGGTCATTTGTATATCCTTGGAATTTGTATATCCTTGGAAAAATGTTTAAGTCTTCTGTCAATGTTTTAATTGTCTTGTCTTTTTGTTGTTGAGTTAAAGGAGTTCCTTTTCTATTTTAGAAACCAGTCTATCCCCTGCATCCCCCTAATAGTGTGAAGCCTCTGATTATGCCCCTGGCTGGCACAGTCTTGAGTATACCCCAGTCACCTAGAGGTAGCATTGATTCTGGCCGGGATCTCTTTGGCTG